CACACACACACACACACACACACACACACACACACACACACACACACACACACTGCTAAGCAGCAGCCTAGGGGGCTCCAGTGTTTGTTTCCGCTCATCTCACAGCACCAGGCTTCCTTTGAAGCTATCCTGGGTGTGGATGGGAGGGGTGGGGTCCAGAGGGACTACCTCCTGCTTCTGCTTTTCTGAAGGACAGGCAGCTGCTAGCAAGGCCAGCAAAGGGCAGTAAAGGGTGACTGTGATAGAGTCGGAGGGGTAAGGACTGGCCAGACGAGCAAGTGAACAAGAGACCACGTGAAAAAGGAAAGAAAGGAGCAAATAGAACAAGCGGTGATGAGAGGTGGATCCACGGGGCAGGGCGGAGGGTGGGCCGGGGCTTCTTGGTGCAAGTGGTGCTTACCTGGCACTCACGTTCTTCTCTTCCAGGGCCACCCAGGACCCAAAGGGGAGATGGTAAGATGCCGGCTTTCCTGCCTTTCGGGGAGCAGGTGGGGGTCTGCCTGGCCCTCCTGGACCGCAGCCAAGCACTGCCCAGCAAGGGCCCCACAGTGACCAGCAGAGGGACCGCCCCTCGAGTTCACACCCCCGGCTGTGTACACCCACACCCCCCTAGATCCTCACATGAGCGGAGGCAGGGGTTTCTCCACTGGGAAATGAGGAAAGGGGGGTCCAGAGAGGGGCCAGACCTGGCCAAGCTCTCACTGAGGTTCGTGGCCAACCCAGAGCTCCCAAACTGCTGACTTGCAGTCAGCGCTCACCCTGGGGGCGTGGGGTGCACTTTCGCCAGGAGACAGCATTCCTCTTCAGCCTCACCCTCAAGGCCTTGTAGCCTGTGGGGGATTTCTGACTGCACGGAGCTCCCCCACCCCTACTCCAGGCATTCCTGCCCCAACTGGACATGCTGGGAAAGCAGGCATTTGCCCCGCCTTCCTCCTTGCCCCTTCCACCTTCTGCAGAGTTTTTTTTCTTTTGCGGGGAGGAGGTTTCTTCCTCCACGGTCTCCCCCAGCCTGCCCCTTCCAGAAGGGAAAGGCCTCCCCTGGCAGGAGCTGCCCACTCCGGGGTGAGGGAGACCAGTTCTCAGAGGGGACTGATGGGTCATTAGGAGTCAAAAGGCCGGCCCTGGATTGGAGCGCTTCCCTGCCTCCCGCGTCCCAGGTCACCCCTACATGGTGTGTGACAGCTCCAGCTCCACAGGGGCGGCTGTTGGATTTAGAATTTGCTGCTGGCTGGTGAGAGCAACGTGGCAGGCTGCCCCATCTCCCTGTCCGGTGGGGTTTGGCGGACACCATACCCTAAGCACTGCCTTAGGCGCTGGTGGAAGATGCTCTCCACCCACCACGGGGTGCTGGCAGGATGCCAGACGCCAGAGCCCTGCTGGCTGAGGGAGGTGGATAATGTGGATGGAAAAGGAGAAGGAGGCTTGTGGGCTGGGAGACCTGGCCTGTAGCCCTAAAATGAAACCAAAACCCTTGCCATCGAGTCGATTCCGACTCATAGTGACCCTATAGGACAGAATACAACTGCCCCATAGGGTTTCCAAGGAGCGCCTGGTGGATTCAAACTGCTGACGTTTTGGTTATCAGCGGAGCTCTTAACCGCTGCACCACCAGGGCTCTGGGCTGTAGCCCTAGAAAGACCCTTGATAAGATGGATTGACACAGTGGCTGCAACAAGGGGCTCAAGTATAACGATGATTGTGAGGATGGCGCAGGACCAGGCTTTGTTTTATTCTGTTGTACATAGGGTCGCTATGAGTCGGAACCAACTCAACAGCGTCTGACAACAACTTAGACTCTCTGAGCCTCAGTTTCCCCAGCTGTCAAAAGGGAATACTACTAGGACCTGGAGCACAGGGTTATGCTGAGGATTAAATGAGATCATACATGTAAAGTACTTAGTCCAATGGCTGCCACATAGAAAGCCCTCAGTAAGTGGTAGCTGAGTCTGAGTGAAGTGGACAGGCTGAGGCTCAGACAGGGAAGCCAAGTTGCAAAGGGGCCCACAGCAAGTTAGGGCAGAGCTAGCTTCTATGTGGCAGGTGTTGGGAGTGTAGAAGCTTCTCTGCACAGGGACCGTGGTTCCAAAGGACACGCTCTGCTCCCGGCACTGCTTTCTTGGTGGAATGAGGTCCTCAACTCTCTGCTTTGTTCCTTTTCCTTTGATCTCTTGTAAGATAAAAGGTGGTGCAGGCCACACCCCAGAGAAACTCCCTTTACATTGGATCAGGGATGTGACCTTAGTAAGGGTGTTACAATCCCATCCCAATCCTCTTTAACATAAAATTACAATCACAAAATGGAGGACAACCACACAATGCTGGGAATGAGAGCCCAGCCAAATTGATACACACAGTTTTGGGGGGACATAATTCCATGACAATGTCCTTCTCCAGGGACTGGTTCCTCCTGATAACATGTCCCAAGTACGTGAGCCGAAGTCTCGTCATCCTCACTTCTAAGGAGCATTCTGGTTGTACTTCTAAGTAACTTGCCTGAAATCACACAGGATTCAATTGCAGTTCTCAATTTCCTTCTCTCACATCTTCTTGACTTCCTCCCTCCTTGTTTCCTTCTTTCCTTCCATGGCTCCCCGCCTCCTGCCTTCCTTTCTTTAACACATTTTTTATTAAGTATCTAAAATGTGCTGAGCACTGTGCCAGGTGCCAGGGATACAGACAGGACAAGGTGGATGCTGTCCTTGCCATTCTGCAGCTCACAGTCTAGTGGGGGAGACATACATTTAAATAATCACACACATAATTAACAAATTGCCTTTGCGGTAGGTACTACGAAAAGGTAGTATAGGGTACCCTGAGAAACCTCAGTATAACAGGCTGACCTCTGGCTGAGGGTCAGAGGTGACTTTCTTGACAAAGAGACGTTTGAACTGGGGCCTGAAGGATGAGGATTTAAACAAGGAAAAGTAGAAAAGGGAGTGGGGGGAGAACATTTTAGGTTGGGAGAACAGCATGTGCAAAAGTCCTGAGGCACTAAAGTCCTTAAAGAGCAGTGAGGCACTGGGGGCAGCAAGTGGAAGAGGTGGTGTTGGAATCCAGGTCCCCCAGCAAGTTTACACTACATCACAGCTGCCCTGACTTCAAATGCATTTCTTGCCGCCCTTACCCTGTTCTGAAGAATGTTGTGCAGGCATGAAATAGTGAGGACCATGGCAACAAAGAAACTTTCGCGGTGCCATTGTTATAGAGGTATACAGGGTGTGGATGCTAGGAGTTTGGGATGCTTATCCCTTAGCCCCTTCTCAGCCCCACAAGGCTGTCCATGGCACTCCAGAAATAATAATAGTCATCAACTGGGCACTGTCTTATAATCCTCGTTGTTGTTGTTGTTGTTAGCTGCCATTGAGTTGGCCCCGACCCGTGGTAATCCCGTGCACAACAGGATCAGACCATTGTGATCCATAGCTTTTCATTGACTGATTTTTTGTACGTAGATTGCCAGGGCTTTCTTCCTAGTCTTTCTTAGCCTAGAAGTTCCACTGTTAACAGATTATTATCTCCATTTTGCAAAAGATGAAACCAAGGCACAGAGTGGTTAAGTTAATTGCCCAAGGCCTCACAAGCTTTAAATAGCAGAGCCGGGATTCACATCTATATGGTGGGATTCTACCACTCTGCGACACCACCTCTCTCTCTGCTGCGAGGACCCTTTATCTTGCAGGAAAGGAACCCTTCTACCCGATCCTCTTCCTGCCCTCACTCTGGGCACACCATCCTTCTGCCTTACTCCACTTATCCCCCTGAGCCTTTCCTGTCTGTTTGGGGGTCAGAGCTAACTCAGAGGAAAGGGTGGGGCATCCCGTCTCCCATGAGTCTGTGTTGGTGTGATAGATCCCCTGTCAGCCTCGTGGTCATCAATCAAAATCTGACAGGCCACAGAGCCATTAGCCTCCTGTTTGGCTTGGCACAGGGACCCAGGAGCTATTAATTCCACACTGCTGTTTAATGTAATTATCGTGACCTGCTTATCAGCTGTCCATCTCCCCAAATGGTTTCCCCTCTGCTGGGCATCTGATACTGGGGTCTGGGTCTCACACTCTTGCACTTTACCTGTGTCCTTACCTGTCAAAAGGGGCTCACCTGTGCCCCATGCCCTGCCTCAAGAGCCTGACGTAAGGTGTTGAGAAAATATAGTGTTCTGTAAAATCAGGAGAATTGGGCAAAGTCAGGGGTGCCAACCTCAGCTGCCATGGGAGCCACACAGGTGCTGCAAAGGAGAGCCTGGGCTCTGAATTCAAATCTCACCCCACCACCCGCAGGCTTGTGCCTTAGTCCCTTGTCTTAGTTACCTAGTGCTGCTATAACAGAAATACCACAAGTGGAAGGCTTTAACAAACAAATTTATTCTCTCACAGTCTAGGAGGCTAGAAGTCCAAATTCAGGGCAACAGCTCTAGAGGAAGGCTTTCTCTCTCTGTTGGTTTTGGGGGAAAGTCCTTGTCATCAATCTTCCCCTGGTCTAGGAGCTTCTCAGCACAGGGACCCTGGGTCCAAAGGACACGCTCCACTCCCGGTGCTTCTTTCTTGGTGGTATGAGGTCCCTTTCCTCTCTGCTCACTTCTCTCTTTTATATCTCAAGAGATTGACTCAAGATACAACCTAATCCTGTAGATTGAGTCCTGCCTCAGTAACATAACTGCCTGTAATCCTGCCTTATTAACATCATAAATGTTAGGATTTACAACAGATAGGAAAATCGCATCACATCACAAAATGGTAAACAACCACACAATACTGGAAATTATGGCCTAGCCAAGTTGACACACATTTTGGGGGGACACAATTAAATCTATAACATCCCTCATCTAAAAAATGAGGATAAAAATAAAACTGACCTCATAGGGTGGTCACCGAAGGAGAGCAGTTAATCACAGGCAGCCCTCAGCTATTATTTTGGGGGTGGTGGATAATGGAGGGCCTGTGGCAGAGATCTGTCTTAAAGGGGCCACGTTACTTAGCTAGAGCCCCTGGTCATGTGTGGTTGGATCTTGAAATATTTAAGAGAAGCTTGAGATCCAGATTTTTATTTTTACTCTCCTTGCTCTTAAATGTTGACAATTAATTGAAATTTTAAAAATTAGAAATTGTGTGGGACAAACAGAATACCTCTAGGGACCATGATTGTCCCACGGACCCTCACTTAGAACCTCTGGACTCAATCCTCCAAGTCTTTGCATCCTAAAGCCTTTGTGTTACTTTTCTCAGCCCCTTGCCCTCAGCTCTTCCATCATACTCCTTTCTCTGTCCTGAGAGCAGATGGCCTGGTCCCATGTATCTGGTCACCTGGTTCCCTGCCAGAAGAACCATATTCTGCTAACTTGAACACTAAACCCCCTGTCACCCAGAAGGGCTGAGGTGCCACAGATTGTCCCAAAGGCCATTTGTCCCCTCATGACTAACCTCTGGGAATTGCCCAGTTTGGATATTGGTCCTGTTGGCAAGTCAGGGGCAAGAGAGAGGTGCTGCTCCCACCTGTCAGCATCCCAAGGACAGTCCACCCAGATGGAATCCGCCCATGGGATTCTGAGCTCTCGACAGCCCCAAAGGTTGTGGCTGGAAGGGACCTCAGGACAACCAGGTAGGGGCTGTTTGTCCAGAAGTTAGTGGTAGAGCAAGTCTAAAAGCCCAGCCCTCTGGTGTCCAGCCTAGCTCAGAGCATGATGGGTAGAAACAGTTGGGCCTTGGTGGTCATACAAACCTGGGTTCACATCCTAATTGTGGCCACTCACTGGGTGCAGGGCCTGGTCTCATCACCTCATCTGGGAGACAGAGTCATCATGAGCACCTTCCTCATGGAGCCATGCAAAGGTTGAGCTTGGCATACGCCTGAAGAGCCTGCCTCTGAGCAGTTAGTGAAAACGATTATTCTTTGTCCTTTCCCTCTTTCCTCCAAACCAGCCATGACATGAGGTTCCTTCGGCCTCCTCATCACCAGGCTCCTGAGAGAGCTGGCCAGACCTTGTGTCTTCAGAGAACAAGAGTCTGCATGAACCCCAGGCAGGCTCCTTTCTTAGCCCTGGGAACTCGACAGGACAACCTTGAAGGAAGCCCCAAACAAAGCCCATTGCCTTCTAGTTGATTCTGACTCATGGTGATCCCATGTGTTACAGAGAATTGCTTCATAAGGTTTTCTTGGCTGTAATCTTTATGGAAGCAGATCGCCAGTCCTGTCTTTCTGCTGAGTGGGTTTGAACCACCAACCTTTAGGTTAATAGTTGAGCACAAACCATTTGCGCCACCCACGGAGCCTTGAAGGAAGCCCCAAGGCCCTGCATACTCCTTTTAGAAGCCCAGAGCACAGCTTAAGTTGACAACTTCCTACATCCTCTCCTCTGCCGAAGGTTTCTCCAAAACACTCAATGTCTGAAGCCCTGCCCCAGGCTCCCATGTCCCCAGAGGCCCCTTGGCCTCAATGGGTTTCATGCCGAGGCCGCGGAGTGTAGAAAATAGAATGTGCCAGTGTCTGTTTGGGGGCTTTCGACATTCTATTTCTTGGCTCTGGGAGGAGACCGGCTGAGTAAGGCAGGGTCCGCGTGATATCTAGATGCAGCCCTTGTACATAGGGGGCCCAAGATTGTTGTTGGGAGAATGACTGAAGGGTCACATTTGTTCTTCACCGCACCCTGTGTAGGGGGCAGGGCACCCTGTCCATTGATCAGAGGAAAGACTGAGATGTGGTGTCTAAGGCCACGCCACCTGTATCTCTCAGGCACAGGAAGACCAGCCTCAGGATTCCAGGCATTCCTGAAAGTACCTGGAAGCCTCAGGTTCTATCACAGCACCCGCACCCCAGCCTACACCTCTGATCTGGCCCATCTTCTGTCCACCACTGACCTGTGTGTGTTTCCTTCCCACAGGGTCTCATGGGCCCCCGAGGACAGCCGGTTGGTACTTCATCTTATTATTCCCCGTGGAGACGCTCTGGGCTGTGGTGTCCTTAGCTTTGCTTTCTTAACTCTCATTTCCGTCTCTTTGCAGGGACCTCAAGGAGAAAAAGGAGAAAAGGTAAGCCCGGTGGACGTTTTCCAGAATTTCCATTTCGGGAAACAGCCTCCCAACAGGTAGAAAAGGGTTCATAGTTGTCTTTTTCTACAGAGCCTTTAGTTCCGGGAAGTCCCCTGGGGTGCCACGGTGTAGGTACAAGAGAGACGACAGTGAAGTCCTCTGGTTAACGCCCTTTTTTGAGGAGGAGGGACTGCCTAGAGCCTGGCCCTTTTCGGCCTCTTTCTCTGCCCCCCAGCTGCCACCCCACAGTGGCCACTGACCCACCTCCATAGCCTGTAGGATTTTGAGGTTTCAGTTTATAAACATTGGCCTGACCTCGGTCCTTATATACTCTGTCTCATTAAATTTCTGATAAAGATTCTACTGGGTTTGCCCCTGGGCAGATGGTATTGGGGCTGGACACCCCCAGCTCAGACGGATATCTTCCACAACCCGGCTAGGTGTCTGCTGTTCCCATCCAGGGGCTTCTGCTCAGGGTTATTGGGTGGACCCACCTGGAGGTAGAACTTCCCGGAAAGATACCTCCATCCAGGCCTGGAGCATAACTCCTGACTCTGCCCTCGGGGAAAGTAGTGTATGATGGAGTCCTGCCTCAGGCTCCATGGGGCCACCACCAAGCAGGCCCTGGGGGTTGTCTTCCTGCTGCCAGCCAGGAGCAAAGGAAGGAATTAGTTCTTCTGCCTCAGAGAGCTCAGACCAGGAGCAGAGCTGGGCTGGCAGGTAATGAGTGTGTGTGATGAGTCAGTAAGTCCTGAGGGTGCCCCGAGAGACAGCCCTCTGCCAACAAGTGCCTAACACTCCCTCCCTTTCTTCCCCAGGGTCAGTGTGGAGAGTACCCACACCGGGTAAGTGAACCCCTGAAACTGAGCAGCGCCCTTTGCTCCGTCCCTGGGGCACAGCACCCAGCTCAGCCCCATCTCCCTGGGTCCCTAGCACCTAACAGAGCTTGGAGGAAGCAGGCTCAGCAATCCAGGACTAGCCAGAGAGAAGTGTCTGTGGGAGTGTTGGGTTGTCTAGCCAACAGTTGGCTGGGCTGTCTTCCTGGGAGCGTACCTTGTGGGTCAGTATGTGTGCTGTGTGCCACCAGCCTCAGTGTCTGTGTTTCCCAGCCTGTGTGAGTCGTTGTCCGTCTGTCCCTGCGTGTGACCCTGCTGCCTGGCCAATCTCGAGCTCGTGTACCTGAGGGCGTGTGCCTGGCTGCAGGTCTGCAGGCACCGCCCTCTATGTGTGGCTGTGTGGCTTGGGTGAGTCTGTGTGTCTGACCTCCTACCCATCCAGCTTATGTCTGCAACTGTGTGTCCGTGTCTGTCTGCCTGCCCTGCCAAATAGGAGGGACATTAGGGTTAGTCATTGCTTCAGATGGCCCAAACCTCATTGGTGGAGGTAATTGGGGCTGACTGTATATATTTAAAGGTAATGGTACAGCCTGTACTTTGCATCTTTAAGAACAGAAGCAGCCCTTCTCCAGGCAGGGCAGTGGGGGAGGGAGGTGGTTTCAGAGCAGAGATGGTCTCCCGCCCCTCCACCCCCACCTGTTCCTTCCTTTTCCTTCCTCCACCCCAACATACAGAGCCCCAAAGACTGCTGTCATTCTATTAGGAATCTTCAACCTTGTGCACCAACAGCGGGGCCATTCTGGGGGCAGGGGAAGGAAAGAAGTGCATGCCTCCTCGGGCAGGAACCCTGTGAGCTGGGACCAGAAATGCCCCTCATTTTGCAGCCTCAGGCCTGGGCAGTCAGGAAAGGGAGGACGGGCGTCTTTAGATGTCCATCCTTCTGTCCTGGGCCTCATTTGTGCCCAGATACACACACACAGTGGGGCTTCTGGAAGTGGTCACAAACCAGACTCAGAGTCAGCCTGACCCAGGAAGGCCACCAGGAGGGCCTGGCTAGCAGGGTGCAGCCTCTGTCCAGCTACTCAGGAGGCTGGACAGCCTGCCAGATGCTGACCCTGGGTTCCTGGGCCAGGGAGAGGCCTGGAACATGGAAAGCTGGGATGGGCTTGAGGCTGAGGCTGAGCTAGACCGGGCCAGGCCTGGGCAGGGGGAACGAGGGCCGGCAGCAGCACAGACAAAGCCAGCCAGTCGGCGGCATTTGCTCCAGGGACGTAGGGGCCCTGGTGTTCTGGCCAGCCTGATCCGGCTGCAATAATAGAAGATCAGCTGTGTTTATTTGGAACGATGGGCTCACGGGATTGTTATGCTACCCGAAGGAAGGACAACATCCCCGCACAAAAGACAACACAACTGTAGACGCGCTTTGGCCGTGTGTCATCCGTCCTGAGCGAATGTTTGGGGTGGGGGAGGGCGCACCGCCCCTCAGCCCAACACAAGAAGCAGGAGGAGGCACTGGTGGAAGGCTCCAGAAGCTCCCTGGGCAGTCTGGGGAACAAGTCCTGTGGGGGTGAGGGGACGTGGGGTGCCAGCTGATGGGTGGGGCTAGAGCAGCCCACACCCCCTATTTAGAAGAGGGTAGAAAAGCAGGGGGTTTCTAGGGTAGGTGGTCTTCGAGCATTGTGTGGTAGCTGTCTCCAGACCCTGGTAAGGGATCCAGCCAGCAGCACCCCCAGGGTAGGTTGGGAGAGGGGAGGGATGGGTGGGTAGGGTGGAGCCCTCTGGGTCGGGAGCAGGAGAGCTGTGCCTGTGGGCTCCAGGCACTCACTCTTCCCCCTCCCCCATTGCCCCGTCTGTGTCACCACTGTCCCCTCCCCAAACCAGGAGCACCTAAGCAGCACTCTAGCCGCTCTGCGCTCCAACCAGATAATTACCCTGAAGGTTTGTGGGCTCTGGATGGACTCTGGGCCCCTCTCTGCTGAGAGGCCTCCTGGACACGAAGCCCAACATTGCACATCTCTGGCCCTGGCAGTGGGGGGGCGGGGGGGCCACCGGGGCTCTGTGTGCAGAAACCAACTTTGAGAGCAGCTGCCCTGCATAGACTGTCACTGGAGACACTCTCAGCCCAGGCGGCCCCGGTTCTTAACACTCAGCCCAGGGGCCTGGTGTGAGTTAAAATGCTTTCAAAAGCAAGTGGTCGATTGTTTCCACTTGGGTTCTAACTGCTTCCTAAAGCCACAGGTTGCTTCCTTTCAAAGGGTAGAGGGATGGGAAGCAGCAAGAATTTCCAGAAATGAAAATCACATTAGATAATGTGATTGAAAGTTGCCTCGCTCCTCTCTGCTCCTCAAAATCTGTGGTTGAACATTCAGAGAAATCTTTGCTCAGCCTCTATTTTCTAAGCCTTCCAGCTGCAGAGCAAGAGGCCTCAGTAGCACTTATCTTGTGCCCACACTGTCCACACCCTCATGGGCTTGGCCTCCAGGACCCAGGCTTGGCATGGCCCTTGGCCATCCTCCCCAGATTCGCTGACATCAGCCCTTCTTGTTCAACCAAAAAAAGAACCCAGAGGTCACCACACACCAGCCTGGCTCCAAGTGCCAATTTAGCTGGCCCTGTGACTCCCTAGCCAGAGGCTCTGAGTCTGCCAACCTCAGTCCAGCAGCCTCAGCTCCCCAGCCCAGGTGGGCGGGCCGGCAGTGCAATGTTGGGCCTTGGGTCAGGGTGGCTCTTGGACCCAGTGTGGCCGCGGAAGGCAGGCCTGGCCAAGGAGGGCTACTCTCCCAGTCAGATGGGGTTGCTGGCAGACACCTGGGCTCTGGTCTGGAGGGTGCAGGCAAAGGGGCCACTGCTCTGCATGCCCTCTCCTTCCAGGGGCAGCTTTGCCACCCAACGGCAACCCCATGAGAGTGCCCCTCCACGCCTCCCCTCCTTGTGGTTCATGCTGCTAATCTCTTTCTCTCTTCCTCTCCTCCCATCCCTCTTGGCTACCCTGCCTTCCTGGCGACTTTCGGCATCCTTCTGACCACCTGCGATCTTTGGCCTCTGCCCTCTGGCCTTCCAACTCATCCTTCTCCTCAGCTGCTGCCTCTCCTCAATTCAGTGCGGCTGGCTCCGCCCCCAGTCATAAAAAGGCGGACCTTCCAGGTAGACACTTTGATTTGCCCAGATGTGGCGTGGCTTCCCCGAGGGGCTCGGCAATCCTTTGGGCCCTGGCGGGCCAGCTGGGGCTGTAGAAGAAGCCAGAACTTCACTCTGGCTAGGTTACGTTAAATTAGACAAAAATGGACCCAGAAATACTATAAACATGGAAGCCCCACAGAGCCCAACACCCAGGCCCCAGGAGATCCACATCTCCTACAATGACCATTACTGCTTATAACAGCCCCCAACACTTATTGCCAGGGACTCTGTTACACATTTTACATGCCTGATTTTATTATTTAATTCTCTCTACAGCTTTCTGAATTAGGCATAACCATCCTTATTTTACAGATGAGGAAATCAAGGCTCAGAGAGAGAAAGTGAACTGCCCAAGGTCACACAGCCAGTAAACTGCAGCTCAGGGATTTTCACCCAGCTTCTCTGTCTCTTACACGCTGTGTGATTTTGGGCAAGTTACTTAACCTCTCTATGCCTCGGCTTCCTCATCTGTAAAATGAGGACAATCACAGTACCTACGTAGGGTTACCATAGTGCTACATAGGGTTGTTGCTGTGTACGTAAAGTGCTTAGAATAGTGTGTGGTATAGTTTAAGTACTATATATATTTATGGCTGACGTTGCTATTATGCATATTTTGGAGACTAGGAAATTGAGGCTCAGAGAAGTGAGTTCATTTGCCCATGGTTGCACAAAATAGCAAGAGGCAGAATTGGAACTGGCAGCCAGGTCTTCTGACCCCAAATCCCAGGCCCTCTTGGTTGAACCTGCATCCTTTTTGCACTGAGAAGTATATGATTGGTCCCTATTTTGAAGAAGTTTAGCATCTGATCCCGTGTAAGCTGATTTTTAGGAGGGAGGGAATTTGCAGAGAGAATGTAGTCTACAACCAGCTGGTGTAATCATCCCTAGCAAAAACTGCTTCCTTCTTCCAGCCAAGGAGGCTGGGAGAGGACAAGATCATGAAGAGCAAGCAGTCTCACCCCTGCTGTCCAAGAGACCTCAGACCCAGGGATCCAGGCTTGATTCCAGGCTGCCATCTGCCCCTAACCTTACATGGCCCAGGGCGTACCCCCAGGACCACAGGGGTGCAGGGAGTGGTGGAGTTCTGCGGTGCTCTGTGAAAGCCTGGCAGCAGAGCCTAGAGGCTACCATCCACAGGAGCAGTCAGAAGCCCGGGGGCCTGGGTGTTCAGGCATCTGATTGAACACAGCTGAAAAACCACTCCAGTGAACAGCTAAAAATACAGGGGACACATGAGGCACATGTTACCTGAGCCCAAGGGCTGCACATCCTGTTACACCAGCCAAATCCTCGCGAGTCTCTGGGCACTCTGAGCACTCACCCAAGCAGGCCCACCCCCACTGCCACCCAGCCCTGCCCAGGTCAGACCCGATTCTGTTCTTAGAGTGACCATTCGCCTGGACGCCAACAGCTACCTATGGCTTTGGCTGTATTAGCTGCCCTTGCTGGGTTCCAGGCCGTGCTGCAAGAATCCTGTATGGATTATCTCATGTAGCCCTCACACCAGCCATCCGGCAGTAGAGGCGCCGCCATCATCATGCCCACTTAAAAACAAAACAAAACCAAAGCCGTTGCTGTGGAATCGATTCTGACTCATGGTGACCCTGTGTGTTGCAGAGCAGAACTGTGTTCTACAGAGTTTTCATGGCTGTGACCTTTCAGAAGCAGATCACCAGGCTTTTCTTCTGAGGCATGTCTGGAAGGGTTCAAACCAGTAACCTTTTGGTTAGTAGCCCAGTGAGCACTTAACCGTTTGGGCCACCCAGGGATTCCCATGACCACTTTACAGATGAAGGGGTTAAGAGGGGTCCAGGATTCCATCCAGGCCACTGCGTTTTGCTGGCTCCCTTCCCAAGAGCAAGGTGCAGGAGAACCAGAGCAATCTGTGCTGTCTGGACCTGGTTTCCAAAGTAGAGAGACAAGAATAGGGGCCCCAGGCAGCCTACTGCAGAGCTGGCCTGGAGAATAAGGTTTTTGTGTTGTCAGCCATCTTGGGCCATAAAAAGGCTTGTCCATTTCCTGTCAATAAACCAATATTGATTTTCCAGGCTCTTTAAGATGCTTAAACATGAGATCTAACATTTGTTGGAAGAGGAAACTTTATATGGGACATGATGTACTTAGCAGATGGTGTTGGAGGTCATTTCCAAAGCGCAGAAAGTTGAACTGTGAGCACTTTTTGCTAGGGGCTTATTTGAAATAAAGGGAGCCCTGGTGGTGCAGTGGTTAATCGCTCAGCTGCTAACCAAAAGGTCTACAGTTCAAACCCACCAGCCGCTCCATGGGAGAAAGATGTGGTAGTCTGCTTCCTTAAAGATTTACAGCCTTGGAAACCCTGTGGGGCAGTTCTACTCTGTCTTGTAGGGTCACTGTGAATCAGAATCGACTCGAAGGCAGTGGGTTTGGTTTTGGGTTGGTATTTGGAATGCAGAGGAACTTAGTCTGAAGTTCAGAGTTTGGGCCCTAGCTCCACCCTGAATTCTCCTTTTGACCTTAGTCAGGCAGCTCAACTTCTCTGAGCCTCAATTTTCTCTTCTGTAGAATAGAACTTACAACACTGTCAAGATTCTAGAATTTCAAAGTTGGAAAGGGCCTTAGGGGTTGGTCTTAGACCAGGCACCTCCCCGACCTTGTGAACTGTTGGTGTTGTTAGTTGCTGTCGAGTCATGTCCAGCTCCTGGCGAGTCCGTATGTGTCAGAGAAGAGCTGTGCTCTATAGGGTTTTCAAGGCTGTGACCTTTCGGAAGCAGAATACCAGACCTGTCTTCCGAGGTGCCTCTGGGTGGGTTCAAATTGCCAACCTTTTGGCTAGTAGTTGAGCGCTTAACTGTTGGCACCACCCAGGAGTCCTCCCTGTGAATTACCCCTTTCTAAAATGTAGGACTTCTCTGTGCAGGGCGTCCTCTCTGTGAAAGAGTATAAAGCAGTGCACCAATGCAAAGGATTCTTAGGATGCTCAGAGAACTCAGTGGGCTTAATCAGACTTATTCTGGTTGAAAAGAAGGCTGTGCTGGTCCCCTGTTGAAGCCTGAGTTTTCATTAAGCTTTCCTGGTTCAGGAGAGGCACCATCAGAGCAGCCCCTGGGACTTATCAACAGCCAACATGAAGCTAGGTGGCGGGAGGGCAAGGGCGCTGGAGGCAGGGGACCCGCCGAAGCAATTTCTGCACCTTCCTCCTCAACCATGGACACTCTGAGCCCTAACGCGGCTTTTCAGAGGGTGCAGCAGGACAAGGCCTAGACCCCCAAGTGTCACTGCTGGGTGCCGTCACCCTAGGATGTTCCAGCTGAGAGATGGTGCAAACAGTTGTTGCTAAAATCTTGCATTTCTGGTTGTGAGGTTGTGCACTCCTGTTTGTCTCCCACGTCCCTTGGCAGATCTTCCATCTGCTCCCTTTTTCTCATGGGAAAGCAAGAGACCCCAAGTATTACAGTCACTTGCTGAGATCACTCTGAGAAGGGTGGGCTGGAGCTCTGGGGCTGGAACTCCAGGACTCCACCTCCTTCTGCATCCCACCCTGGAGCTCTCTCACCTGCCAGGTTGTTCTGCTTTGACCTGTCTACAGGAACGGGCCCCTTCCCACGAGAGCTGAGCCCAGGTTGTCTCTGGAGGGGTCATTTAGAAAACAGCATAATGACAATTGAAAGAATGGCCAGAGTTGGTTTTCATCTGTCTAGATCCTGGGTGGTGCAAACGGTTAATGTACCCGGCTGCTAACCAAAAGGTTGGAGGTTCAAGTCCACCCAGAGGTGCCTCAGAAGAAAGGCCTGGTGATCTGCTTCCAAAAAATCAGCCATTGAAAACCCTGTGGAACACAGTTCTACTCAGACACACATGGGGTCATCATGATTCAGAATCAACTTGACAGCAACTGCTAAAAAGATCTAGAAAGACTCTGGCTTGCCCCAGACCCAATATCTGGGGTTATATGGGCCAGGCTCTCTTGTCTTCCTAAAGGAACACAATGCTGCCCCTACCTTGCTAGGCTCTCCGTCCCTCCTGGGCACAGGCCTTATGGCAAAGGTTGGGCTCTGAGCAGCTGATTAAGGAGTCAGGGTAGGGGAAGAGAAGAATAGCAGCCTCATATAGGCATAAAGCGCTTTCCAGTTTCAAAACGATGTCAGCCAAGCCAAGGGCTGCAAACTCAGTTGCCCTCCGAGGCCAGGCAGATCACATAAGGGACAAAGCAGACTACGTGTAAGAGAGGGTAGGGAGGGTGAGGGTGGGGACAGCTGGACAACTCATGTCCTGTCTGAAGGGGGCGGCCATAACTTGGATCCCGCTAATTATTGCCCCCAGGGGTGTGGGCCCGGAGGTACCGGGGACTCTAGCTCTTCATCGGAAACCACCCATCCAAATGTTTACATGAAATCTCTTGCCCAATTGTTTAGTGAGCCAAAGAAAATTGTGTGACCTCTGACCTAAGGATTTTTTCTGATCTTCTGGCAAGATAATCAAAGACAGCAAATAGCTGAGACAGGAAACCAGGAGCTATTGTTCCCATGCTGTGACTGAGAGGCTGGGGCTTAGAGAGATGATGTGACTGCCACACACAGAGAGGTGGCAAAGGCAGGCCCAGCCTCAGACGACCTGGGCTGGACTCTGGCCACTTGACCAGGCCAGTACCAGGCCTGTGGTCAGGCCAGCAATTGTCTCTCACTCACCCTATGCCTCTGCCACCCACAGCGGGGCTCTCGGCCCCAGTGCCAGCCTCTCTGTGCAGGAAGTCCTCTCTGGAAGCCCCTCCTCTTGGGGACCTAATGTCTTGGCTCTCTTCTCACTGCCACCAGCCCCTGCATGTAGTCACCACCATCCAGCAGTCACCACCATCACGTCACATCTCATCCCTACAGTCACCACAGCCCACGGCTGGGCCTTCACCGGGTGCATGGCACTGGGCGGGAACTGGTCCACGGCTCTGGGCGTCCTGTCTCTAACTCTTGTCTCCATGAACCTCAGGGTGAACAGGGCCAGGCTGGCATCCAAGGCCCACCAGGGCCACCAGGCCCCCCTGGACCTAGTGGACCTCTGGGGCACCCAGGACTGCCAGGGCCCGTGGGGCCGCCCGTAAGTATTCCTTTCTGCTGTTCACTGCCTACCTTCTGAAACAATCTCTCTGAATGGCAGAAACACCTTAGCAAGTCCTCTGGACCTAGTGGCCCACGTGAGGACCTGCCTATCCCTGTCACACTCATCTGTTGAGTTCTGGCTCTGTAAGCACACGTTGCTGACACATCCTCAACATCAGTCTTTGCCTCTCAGGGGAAATCACTAACCGGCTGCCCCTTTCCCAGCTTCCGTGGTGAGGAGCTTGGAAAGAAAGTTCCAAGGCCACTTTTGATGGCTGTCCCCTGACTCCTGGGCTGAGGAAAACCCGAGGCAGGTGCAGTAGATTCTGAAGGAGGTAGGCAAGGGGGCATCTGAGCACCTGGCATCCCTAACAAGCACACCTAACCTAGTGTGCACAGGTTTTCACACTGCTGTCAGCCATTCCAGCCTAGCAGGATGCCTGGTCAACCAGAGCTGTTGCCCAGCCTAGAGGGACCCTGCATTGAGCCTGGGGAGCAGGCCTGGGTGAGGCCAACAAGGCATACACTCCAGGCAGAACATATTCAGGCTATAGGTCAAACCCAGTGGCTGCCCAAATCACCCATTTCCAAGCCCTGGCCAAAACCCTACTCTTTCTCAATCCAATTTAGTATAGCAAAGCACCAGGGCAAGAGAATAATTCCTCAGATGCCAGGACTCCTTTGGAAGAAATGGGTCTTCTACCAGAGATGAGGCTAACGTTATATGTTATTGGACAGACAAGGGTTAAGGACAGAGTCGGTTTGCTTTTTAATAATATTTTCCCCACATGATAAAAAAAAAACCTTGTTTTTCTTTCTCATTGCAAAAGTATTATACATACATTGTGAAAAAAATTTGGAGAACACAAAGAAAAAATATAAAACTGCCTATTTTTCCACATCCAGAGTTAACGATGGTTAACGTTTTGGAGATTCTGTCCATTTTTCTCCATAGATGTGTCTGCGTGTAAACATTTTTCAGGTTGGTAATGATCTGAATGGAATCCCTGGGTGGTGCAAATGGTTAATGTACTGAGCTGCTAACCAAGAGTTTGGTAGTTCGAGTACATCCAGAGGCACCTCAGCAGAAAGGCCTGATAATCTACTTCCAAAAAACCAGCTCTACTCTGACACATATGAGATCAGAGTCAACTCAACAGCAACTGGTTAATGCTCTGAATAAAATAACAGTTTTGTATCCTGCAAAGTTTATCACTTCATGTCATAATGCAAGCCCTTTCCTCCGTCAGGAAAGAATCTTCCATGAGAGGGACCTCAGGGCTGTTCGGCCTACTTATAACATAGTTAGTGAGTCCCGTTCTGTGATTATATCCTATCCTTGAACATACGTGTTTTTGTATATCTCTGGTTGTTTCATTGGGGTAGATTCCCACAGGCAGAGTTCCTAGGTCAGGGAAGTCCCTGCCAAATAGCCCTCGATGGGCACGGCTTCACACCTGGGCCCCTCAGCTGCTGATCCTGAGACTCAGTGCAGGGGTCCCTCTAGACAAGGGGACAGTCTGGCCAGTCAGGGCACTCAGCTGTGTGATGTGTGAAAACCTAATCTTCTGGGTGCCCGCTATCCTGCCCAGCTTGACCCAGCCACACATTTTAAATATTCCCATGACTTCTCCGAAGGATTCCAGGGAGGGAGATTAGGCTCATTTCCATGGGTTTCTAGACAGTAAGACAGAAAACCAGAAAGGAAGTGAAATTTAGGGCAAAGGAACCAAACCAAGCTGAGAAAACCAAAAAGTGTTCAAAATCTGCTGCTTTGCTGACTGCCCTCCCCCAAATACACTGGATCCTACTCACTGAACCAAATCTAGATGGTTTTCTTTGTTAAGTTGTTTGTAAAAAAAAAAAAAAAACCAGAACACATGTTGTTTTTCAAAATTTTTTTTAAAGGATTTATTTTTTTAGAGCAGTTTTAGATTTACAGAAAAATTGTGAAGAAAGTACTAAGTTCCCATTTACACACCCCTCCACACAGTTTCTCCTACTAACATATGGAATTCTGTGGTACAGTTGTTACAATTGATGAACCAATGTTGGTACATTATTATTAACTAAAGTCTATAGTTCACATTAGGGGTCATGCTTTGTGTTGTACAGTCCTATGGGTTTTGACAAATGCTTAATATCACATGGTATCATACAGTTTAGTTTCACTGCCCTGAGAATGCCCTGTGAAAGCATATTTTTTAAATCAGTTGTAACAGGGCAGACTCAGGCATCTCGGTTTCCTCCAGCCCATGCTGCTGCCCGCCCTACACCCCGAGCCTGCAGTGGTACCCAGCCTCTCTCTCCTCTCCCTTGAGCTCCTGCAGGCAGGCCCCCCAGCCCACACAACCTCCCCAGGGCTGGCTGCCATGGTCACCACACCCTGGGGAGAAAGGTCTAAGCCAGAGGAGACTGAAGGCTTTTCCGCCAGTGGCCAGGGCCAAAACCAGGGCTATGCTGGGAAAGGTCGGTTTTCTTGGGAGGGGTCCCACATAGGAGGTGGGTGGGTGGGGCTCGAAACCAAACCACACTGTCAATTTAGCACGATGCCGCTGACCTATTTTCCAGTGGGCGAACCCAGCAGAGATGCCCAGGGCTCCCATTGGCTCAAGAGGACATCAGCCTGTTGTCCCCATGGGCCCTTAGCAGGTCTCAGACACCCTTCCAGGGTCCTCTAGATCTGTTCTCTAGCATGTCCATTCTCTTCTGGTCCCAACCCCATTAGCTTTCTGGGGCTACGCTGTAAATATGACTGTTGTTGGTTGCTATTGAGTTGATTCTGACTCATGGTGACCCCATGTGTGCAGAGTAGAACTGCTAATAGGGTTTTCAAGCTGTGACCTTTTGGAAGCAGATTGCCAGCTGCCTCTGGATGGGTTTGAACTGCCAACCTTTTAGCTAGTAGTCAAACACTTAACTGTTTGTGCCACCTGGAGACTCTGTAAACGTAATTAACCTCAACCATTTACGAGTGGAAACATCTCCCATCACCTTGTTCCTCTACAGGGCTTACCTGGGCCTCCTGGACCAAAGGTAAGGGCCCTTGTGGGTGTCACATTGAATAGGTGAAAGTGTTCCCTGCAGGAGGGAGGTGGGAGGCAGCACTGGGGGCTGCTGGGTAAGGAGCTGAGGGGGTCTCAGCTCAGAGATGGATCAAGCTTGGCTTGTTTCCAAAACATACCTCTCAGGGACTGATTTGCTTCCACAAAGATGGTATTTATTGCATGCTCCGGCTGAGCCGGAGCTACGGTTGGTATGAAAGGAGCAGTCTAGTTGCAAACTCAAGGCTGATGTGCAGGACATCATCACAATGTCTTCATAAAATAGCATTTCCTAGGATGTCAGAACTGGGAAGTTCCTTCCGGGTCATCAGGTCTCTTGTGAAACCTTACCCGGAGCCCAAGATGTCACGTAGGCTCTCCGTTTGAAGCCGAGGGCTCTGGGGGCTCTGGGGAGGAGAAACTGCAAAGGACAGATCTGCCCAACCATTTATAAGTGTTTATAAATTTTATAGATGTAGAGACAGAGTCCTTGGGAAAAGGGACTTGTCCAAGGTCAGACAGAGAGTCAGTAGTGGAACCCAAACTGAATCTCAGGTCTCCTGGGCCCCTGCTAAGTTGGCCCTCCCCTCCTTCCCTCTGCCTCTGAAAAGTGGGGGCTTGTTTTGAGAATTAGAACAGTCTGTTGGCTTCAGAGGGTTCAAGAGCTGTTATGCTGGGGAAGGCTGGAGGTGGATGCTAAAAGACCAGGAGGGTTTATAGTTGTTGGGAGGATGAGAGATACACTGAGGGTAAAGGGAACTGCACAAGTATAAGTTTGGCGTTGGAAATACCCCTCTAATGGTCTTCTCTTTGTCCCCCCAGGGAGACCCTGGGATCCAAGGCTATCACGGCCGAAAGGTAAGAAGGAGGTGGGGAGAGGACCCCATGAGGGGCTTCACAGGGTTGGGACTTGGTGATGCACAATGCATTTTTGCACACACACTACCCAGTGTGGCCCTCACCTGCTTGGCCCAACTGGGGTTAGTATCTTCACTTTGAGGATGAGGAGGCTCAGAGGGGGCAAGGGCCTTGGGCAAGTCAGTGGTATAGCTGGAACTCAGATCCAGAAGGATCTCCTCCCGGCAATCCAAGTGGCCGTGTCTGTACTGACATGGCCACTGTCTGGCCCACCAAGGGCAGAGCTCCATGCTGAGCATGGTAGGAATATGGAGGGGTGCCAGTCTGGATTCCTGCACAGATAACCCTGGTGAAGGCAGACTGTGCTAAATGCTACCAGAGCAAAGTGTTGTGTGAATACGGGGGGCAGAGAGGTTAATTTCAGGTTGGGAGGAGTTTGGGAAGTCTTCTGGAAGTAGATCGCCTGTGAGCTTAGTGCTGATGAATGGGTGGGTACATCAGTTATCTATTGCTGTGCAACAAACCACCCCAAACTTACTGGCTTAAAACAGTGACTTATTTCTCATGATTCTGTGGATTGGCAATCTGGGTGATTTTGCTGGTCTCTTCTGGGCTCACTCATGCAGTTGAATCAGCTGATCTATAGAAAGGCTAGAAGGGCCAAGGTGGCCTCATGCACGTGTCTGGTGGTTGGTGCTGGCTGTGGGCTGGGGCGCTTTCATTCTCCTCCCTGTGGCCTCTCATCCCCCAGGAGGCTAGACAGGCTTCCTTACAGCATGGTGGGCCCCAGGGCACAAGCACTTTTCAAGGTGCCCACTTGCATCCATTTTCTTTTGTTCTAGTGGCCAAAGTAAGTCACATGGCCAAGTCATGTGAGTCGGTGTGAAGGAGAAGTAGCAAAGTACTGTGGCTATTTTTTAATCTAAGTGGGCCTTCAACCAGCAAATTTGAAGGAGAGTAGTATTTCAGATAGAGAAACAATATAAGCAAAGGCCCAGAGGTGGTCATTGCAATAACTCTACCAGTACTAGTTGTCATCAAGTTGATTCCAACTCATGGCGACCCCATGTGTGTCAGAGTAGAACTGCTCCATAGGTGGTTTTTTTTTTTTTTTTTAAGTCTTTCTGTCCACAGAGGTACCAAGGGCACCTGAACCCCAGGGTTTTTTTTTTTTAATTATTTTATTGTATTTTTGGTGAAAATTTATACAGCAAATTAGTTTCTTATTTAACAATTTCTGTACATATTGTTCAGTGACATTAGTTACATTTTTCATAGTGTGTCAGCATCCTCACTATTTACATTCTGGTTGTTCTGTTTGCCTTAATCTAGCTTCCCTGCCCCCCCCCCACTTTCTTATCTTTACTTTTGGGTAAATATTGACCGTGTGGTCTCATATAGGTGATTATTTAAAGGAGAACAGTACTCACAAGTGATATGGTTTATTTTATGGCCAATCTATTATTTGGCTGAAAGGTGAGCTCCAGGAGTGGGTCAAGTTCCAAGTGTAGAGGGTGTCTCAGGGTGATAGTCTCAGAGGATCCTGTAGTCTCTACCAGTCTAGTAAGTCTGACCTTTTTTAGGAATTTGAAGTTTGTTCTACATTTTTCTCCCATCCTGTCTGGGGCCATGTATTGTGTCCCTGGTCAGAACAGTTGTTAGTGGTAGCTGGGCACCATCTAGTTCCTCTGGTCTCAGGAGAGATGAGGCTCCATAAGGTTTTCAGTGGCTGATTTTTTGAAAATAGATTTCAAGGTGCCTCTGGGTAGACTCTAATCTCCAACCTTTCCTTAACCATTTGTACCACCCAGGTACTCTGCAATAATTATGAAAAAAAAAGAAAACCAAACCCATTTCGAGTCAATTCCAATTCATTGTGATTCATGGTGACCCTATGGAAGCATCACAGGGTTTCTTCATGGAAGCAGACTGCCATATCTTTCTCCCAAGGAGTGGCTGATGGGTTCAAACTGCTAGCCTTTCAGTTAGCAGCCAAGCACTTTAACCACTGTGCCACCAGAGCTCCTCTGCAATAACTGTAGTAATGTAGTAATAATTCTAGTAATAGCCACCACTCACTGAACACCTGTGTGCCAGGCACTGTCCTTCCACATGACCTGCATTATTTGTACTCCTAAAACCACCCTGTGAGGCTGCTTCTAGTGTTCTCCTGCTTAACAAATGAGGAAGCTGAGACTTGCCCAAAATCTCATGACTCATAAGTGGCAGAGCAGGAGTTCAAGTCCAGGTCTGGGCAGCTCTGGAGTCTGAGTCCTTCCCACGGTACCACCTGCCGCAAGAAGCCCATCCTACCCTCCCAATCCTGGCTGGAGGGGGTGGGAGTAGGGGACGGAGGAAGGACGCAGGGAAGCCAGGCCCCAGGAAGGCGAGGAAGAAGGAGTCTTGGAAGAGGAACAGTCACGCAGAGAAGCACATTCCTCGCACACTGTAATCAGACGGTTGCCATCACCACGTTGTTTTATGGGAGCTTGGTGGGTAAAACGGTGAGACCTGAGAGATCTTTAATTAGTTCTGCATAAACTGAGAAGTTTGTATTGTGTCAGGAAGTGGAAATTGTAGCCCCCGGGGCTGCCTTCATGCACTCATGCAGACTCACAAAATTTCCCGCCTCCTGGTGCTGCGAAGGGTAGGTTTTCCCGTTAGCCGCCGGGTTCACTCTTTCAAGCTATAAAGGGGCTGCGGGGCCAGCAGAAGTCCCCCAGGGGTCATGGCGATGCCCGTGGCTGGACATCCGGACAAGGTCGGGCATCTGTTCTCTGCTGCAAACCAGAAGCCTGGTCGGTCCACAAAGGAGCCTGTGGGGGTGTCAGCCTGAGGATAAAGATGCCTCAAGTTAGGGCTGGGCTGTCGTGATGGTAGAGGGGCTGGTCCCATGGGTGTGGCAATTAGGTTAGATTGTGGGGAGAGTAATTCCACTCTGGCTGCATTGAATCTTCAGAGAAAACCAGTGTGATCCTGCTGGCAGAGGGGCAAGCCAGGGAGGTTTGCCCTGGGGAGAGAAGGACTGTAGCACGCAAGAGAGAGCACTCTTGCATGACTAAGGGTAGAGCAAAGGCTGATGGTGCATCCTACAGAAAGGGTGATGTCAGCTCAGTAAGAGGGAGCCTTCTGATAGTCATGGGTGCTTGGGAGGGAGGGAGCTCCCCATCACCAGAAGTGTTCAAGTAGAAGCTGGATAAATGCTTGTCTGGGATGTGTTAAGAGGAGCTTCTATTATCAGATGGAAGACTGGATTAAAATTCCTTCCAATATCCTAGGGACAGAGCTGGCTCCCTAGCCCCTAGAGAGGAACAGCCCCCCAGTTTGTGAGGTGTTGGTCTGCTAGGAGGCTTGGCCTCCTTGGGCCTTTATCCAAGCCTTTTCCACCCATACCCAGGCTTGTCAGCCCCATCACCACTCTTAGGTCTCACGAGGACCCAAGGGACTTCTGCTCTCTGCCCCTTCTGCCAGACCACCTCCTTCTGCTTCTCCATGGGGACCTCTTCCTGTGGACTCTGGAGGGGCTGTGAGGCTGCTAGCTCCCCTTTCCTGCCTCTCTGGGTCTCTGGAAGGTTCCTGCTGCCTCCACTTCTCCCAGCCTATGGTTGAGTCGTTTTAGTGGGGTCTCCTGAAGCCACCAGCCTCCCAAAGCCAACTAGCCCCAGGTGGTCTCAACACCAACTCTCGGTGGTGGCCCCCCGCTCTACTGGGACCTTTGTCTTGTCATCAAGTCAGCCAAGGCCTCCTAAACCAGCAGAGGCCGGAGGGCGTGCAGTGGGAACCGATGACCAGCAGCAAAGTGTCCACCTCCAAGAACTTGGGGTTCTTTCTCAATGTCCAAGCGATTCTCAGGAGGCTACATGGATTTGTTCCACTAACTCAGCCACATTGAGTCAGTGGTCCTCTTGGCCCCAATGGTCACCATCACCCTCAGAGTACTGAGATGAAGGGACCAATGCCCAAAGACAAGTGAAGCAATAACCTCACATCTGCAGATTAACTCAAGTCCATTCACGCCCCATCTCCCTGGGTCCTTGCTGTTTCCCAGTGGTTAGAGCTCATTATCACCATTTTACAGATAAGGAGCTCAGAGAGGCTAGCCCTTTGTCCGAGGCTGCACAGCTAGTAAGCGCTCATGCTGGATTTGTAAACAGTGGCCAGCCTGTCTTCTCGCCCTGGTACAAAGAGCAGTGTCTGCTCATGGGCCTCACCCGAGTCCAAGCTTACACCAGCCCCATCTGGGGTTTCTGCTGTGTGGAGGCCTATCCCAATCTCCCTTCTCTTCTCCATCATTTCTCTCTTGGCCTCTCTGCTTGGAATAAGGCCTGGGGAGGAGACACTGACATGAAGTCCACTTGATCACAGATGCTGGGAAGAGAAGCTTGCTCCCAGCCTACCACCGGGAAGGGGCGGGCCCTGGCAAGCGTGTATGAGGTTTGACCTGAACTTACAGATGAGAAGTTCAGAGAGGTCTTGAGTGTTCTGTCAGGTGCAGCCTGAGGAAGTGAGACTCACGAAGGAAGGCCAGAAAATAAGTAGAATTTAGTACTCACAGATCCCAGAGGAAACTACAGCACGCCTCGACGCAGGCCCCATAGGGGTTGCACCCCGGGACAGGGCAGCAACAAACTAGAAGTGCAGGAGAGGACCTGCGTACGGCAAGCAGGGTGGGGTCTTGGGGTTGGTGTGTGCTGAAGTCTGATTGGTTAGTTTAAAGGTTTTTAGGGCATTAATATGGGAAAAGGGAGAAATTTTTATCACGGGGAACCAGGGGACATGGTCTGGAGGGGCAAGGAGTAACTATGGCCATTGAGAAACTGGGTTATGACACTAATAGGTTCTTATCATGGAAACTGCATGGGGCATGGCAGGGAGGGCTGGTTAGAGACCACCACTGTTGAGAGCCTGTTGGGTAACGAGATAGGAACAGCCATGTCAGAAACTGGGTGAGAGGATAAATGAAGAAAAAAACACCAGACCCGTTGCCATCGAGTTAATTC